ACATTCCCCAAGTAAGGACTGATTGAAATCTCAACAATCTGTTCACTTTTCAACATACATCAAGATTTATACACCTGAGTCACAAACCCAGAATCCCTGTGATGTCCCCATTTTTACTTTATAATGAATATTATTACTATGGAAGGAGGAAATGCGCGCGCGTGCACACACACACATATTATAAACCCTCTGGTGACTGTTAACATATATGTGTAACGAGTATTTGAACCATTCTGCTTGATTTAGCTGCTGTCAAGTTTTAGCAAACAATAGCTGTAGGGCTCAAGTGTTGGACTGGGCATGACAGAGAGAAGCAGAGTGTAAATGGTAAATGGCCTGTATTTATATAGCGCTTTACTAGTCCCTAAGGACCCCAAAGCGCTTTACATATCCAGTCATCCATACATTCACACTCACATTCACACACTGGTGATGGCAAGCTACATTGTAGCCACAGCCACCCTGGGGTGCACTGACAGAGACGAGGCTGCCGGACACTGGCGCCACCGGGCCTTCTGACCACCACCAGTAGGCAACGGGTGAAGCGTCTTGCCCAAGGACACAACGACCGAGACTGTCCAAGCCGGGGCTCGAACCGGCAACCTTCCAATTACAAGGCGAATTCCCAGCTCTTGAGCCACGATCGCCCGTAGTTTGAGATTCTTTCTTCCCTTAGAGAAATCACACAGGCTGGCGGCCTTACTGCAGACAATAATAAAAGGCACTAATTTACATGAGGAACAGATCATCAGAGAGAGCAAAACGAAACAAGTCTACCACCCACTAATGATGTGTCGGTCGCGAACGAAATGGCTCTTACACAGACACAGAGAGAGGTATGAGTTTTCTTCAGTGTATTTCTGACATTCAGGATTTCTCTCGAACAAATGGCCATAATTTCCTAACCGTAGGGGCTAGAACGGTCATTCTGACACCGTTTTGTTCAGAAGGGATGGGGGAATCTTCAGGTGTTCATAATTCATAAATAAAGTATAAATTATTGAAGATATATGACTTGTAATACACTGTAACTAAGTAGAGGTGAAGCAAAAACTGCCTTGACTTGCCCTCAAACAACATTTTGTAAATCGAAATCTATATCAGCATCAAAATCATTCTTTCACCGTAAGAAACAGCAGGGGTTGGTGAACAGTCATGGAAATTTTCAGGGCTCTGTTGAAATCCATCAAAAAGATATGACGAGAGAAAAAAGTGCCTCATTTACAGAGTTTGAAATCTGAAGAAATCTGAGCGAGAGACAAATTTCCTACCCTCAAAAAAATGTAATTCATGACCAAACGGTAACAGATGAGAAACAAATTCTTGAATTGTGAGCGTCAGGAGTGTCTGAAGATATATTGGCACAAGCCTCATGTCTCAACTTTGCTTTGTTAAGCAGATATGACAATTTGAAAATGTGTCTCATTAGAGAAATCCAGCGGTGATTTTGAACAAACTCTCCATTGACTGTCTATGGAGAGTTTTCAGAGTTTGTGTTGACATTTTCTGAAAGCCAGCAAAAATACCTACGTTTTGATGTATAATTTGTGGGGGTTGAGTGGAAATTGAGCGAGTAGTAAGAAGTTGCTGGGACATGAAGAGAAAATTCAAAAAGCTCAAGTGTCCACTCTGAGTTAATTGCACAGCAACCATAACAACGCATGTATTTTCTGAAAAATCACAAAGCTGCAACTGAAAACTTAAAGAGGCATTAAATTAAAATGGTAACAGATATGAAAAAGCTGAATCATACATGAATAGCCCAATAATCTGAGAATGTTTTAAAGTTTGAATGGAGTTTCTACGTGAAAGTATAAGGATGTAGTTAAGTTTCAAAATCAAGCAAGTTTTAGCAGAATTTTGGAAGTTTTCCATTCATTTTCCATGCCTGTGAGGCATTCACACAACTACACACTCCAAACACGCTGAACCAGCGGTCCCCAACCCCTGGGCCTCGGACCGGTACCGGTCCGTGAGTTGTTTGGTACCGGGCCGCGAGAGTTGAGGCTCAGGTGTGAAATGTCTGGTTTTCAGGGTTTTTATCGGTTTTCAGCGTTATTTTGTTATCGTTTTTATCGTTAACTTGGTTTTCCTGGGTCTTTTCACGTGTGTTATGAATAAAAAAAAAATTTCGGTACCAGTACTAGTTTTATTTTGTTGTATTTCTCCGCGACACCTTAAAGGCCGGTCTGTGAAAATATCGTCGGGCATAAACCGGTCCGTGGTGCAAAAAAGGTTGGGGACCGCTGCGCAAAACTCGCTCTCTCTCTTTTTCTGCTCTCTCTCTCTTTCTCCTAAAACTTCCCCTGGTTTTTTTTGGGGTTTTTTTGGCGGGGTGTTGCTCATAAGCAGAGAGTGCTGTCCTTAGACAGTAAACGTGAGCGTATATATTGTCTATCATGACTCTGGTTTTACGTGGCCTATCAATACAGTTTATAAATTGGTATATATCACCTTGTTGCTTTGTCTTTAAGGGGTAATGTGATTGGCTTACCACGACTATTTTATTCTTCCTCAGTCAAACAGCAGCACTCATGCCATTGTTTTGCCCCCTTAGCTACAGGTGTTGTGCTAGACAGTGATCGTGATTACCGTCCGCGGGAGCGTGCAGCTGCTTAAAGCTGTAGCGTCCAGATTACTTACAGCTACTTCCCCGTTAGTAACGCTGTTACTCGTAACGCCGTTATTCCCATCACTGACTACCACACACCAAATCTGGTCGTTGATACGACCTGGCTTGTGTAGCCACTAGATAACAAAAGCTCAACACTGTGCTTAGCATCCTGGAGCACTTCTGTTGTGTTTTGTACGTGTTTTGGAGTTTGTACGTGCTTCGGGGGTTTGAAGATATTTGTAGCTTATTTTAGGAGTTAGAAATGTGTGAGATAGAATGTAGAATAGTGTAGAGACACTGACACTGCCCTGGATGTAATAAAGGCCTGAACGTGTCATAAAATTAGGAGTAAACTTGATATTGTATTTGTTTTAAATGTTATATACCTATGTGGTATGTGACTTTTGTTGCCATGATGCCAGGTCTCTCTTGGAAATGAGATTTTTAATCTCAATGAGATTTATTTTACCTGGATAAATAAAGGATTAATAAAAAAGGAGACCTTCCCCCACCTTGAGCTAAAAAAGTAAGCCAGAGAGAAGTTATAGCTGAGTGGAAATTCCCCAGGGGATGCCTGGTGTTTGTAACCTGATAATTGTGGTCTGGAGGGGAGACACATCACAAGTGAGTGAGTGAGACGGTAGACAGCAGTGAGGAGGAGAGTGCGAGTGCATCGCAAAAACACATCTGGCTGCAGTTTGAAGAAGAAACAGATACTAACTAAGAGGGGAAACCTCTTGAGGTTTGTCCTCAAGGCCTGGTTCCCACTGGATTCTTGGCTGACTCATCAAACGAAGACTTAACTACATTACTTAAAAACCACTTCATCGCTCCATTCCTCGTGAGAGAGTTAGAGCAGGATTGTAAACATGTTCCTTATTTTGGTCCTCAGACTTGACTTTGCTTCTTCTTAAACACGGTACTGAACTTTAAGCTCTTTCAGATTAATCACATATACAGAGGGTACAGTCAGGTGTATGTTAACAGTTTCTGCTTTTACTTACAGACCTCAGGAAAAAGCCACGTTTGACAGCTCTTTGAAGACAGCTCCATTGTGGATTGTATTTAAAGGTGTTGCTGGGACTCATTTACTTCAAATACACATTATCAACCAGCAGTTATGTTTTATGGACTTGGAGAGATGAGAGGAACAGCTATAAGTTTAATTGCTGCAACCTGTGGACTTCTTGTCCTTCTCAGTTTAACAGGCAAGTCTACTTTACAGTATTTATTGTAATGTCAAACAGAAGTGATACAGGAAAAATATTTATGCAACCACTTTTACTTTTTTCTTTAAAAGAAAAAGAAAAAAAAGAATTTTTTTACAGACAACCCCAAATCAAAAGAGTTAGGACGGTATGTTATGAAAATGAAAATGAAAACAGTATTCCAATAGTTCTTGCAACACATTTAAAAAAAAAGTTGGAACATCCTTTAGAAAAGGAGCTTAATCTTTTAACATTTTTTATTATAAGAATGTATTATTTTTCAGTCTTTTCTCCATGTTTCTTAGTTTCCTCAGTCATATTTCCCTCTGTCTCTCGCTCTCTCTTTGTGTTCTCACTCTCGCTGTCTCTCTGTTTGTAGTCAGACTTTCATTGTGTTTCTCATACTTCCCAATTTATGTTGACAGTCTCTTGTCCCGTGTACATTGTGTTCAATTTTGCTTCCAAAGTCTCGTCAGTTAATTTTTTTCAGCTGTGTTCCCCAGATGTGGCAGGCAGGTAGGTTAGGACCCAAATGTAAGACTCTCTGTCCTGATTCTCTCCTGTATATTGGCTCTCTCACTCTGTCTGTTGTTTTGATCTCCCTCTTGCTCTGTGCATCATTTGTTTAGAGCCTGCAGTGTTTGTATCCATGAGTATCTGCCAGTTAAGTTGGATTAAGTTATTTTTAATTTCCAGCAATGAAGCTGTTGTTCAGTCCAGCCTGATAATGTTACATTTGAGTCCTGACCTACCTGCCAGCCACACACAGCACTTCATGACATTTAAAGCTTCCTTTCTATGTAACCTCAATATTCCCATCAGTTTCCCCCTAAATATTTTATTATACAAGTTGTACTGATGAAAATACACAACAGATCATATTTTTTCTTTCTTATGATTTGCTTTGAGAACGAGCTGGCTATTCACAGTGAAAATCTTGTCCAACAGGTATAGCTGGGTCTTCCAGCATTTGGTTTGTACGTGAAGGAGAGGATCTTTCACTTTATAGTTTTTTGACTGTGTCTGGAAACACAAAGTTCTTCTGCAAGGAAAAATGTGAGCGAGCAGAAAACATCCTCATTAAAACAGATGAAACCACAGCTCAGAGCGGCAGATTCAGCATTGAATACAAAGATGCAGCTTCAGGAAGAGGAAGCCTGACTTTTACCATCACAAATATGAGAAAGTCTGACTCAGGAATGTACCGGTATGGTTTGGGTAAATCTTCAGCTCCAGATTCATACTCAGACTTTGAGGTCAGAGTTTCAAATGGTGAGTTTCTACTAAAAGTCAAAATTGGGAAACCAATCACCTACTCTCATACCTCCATAAACTCTCAGGATAAATACAGTCCTATTTAAACTTAGTCACTTTATGTATTTATTATATAATTCATGGATGTTCATCTATTTAACAGAAATTGCTAAAAACTCTAGAGTCTCCCGTGCACAGAGTGAGCAGGTACAGCATTGAATACACAAAAGGATCTGCGTTTGAACTTCGGGCAACCATCAGACATCTGACCAAGTCTGACACGGGACAGTACAGGTGTGGTTACGGGGACCCTTTATCTCCTGATTCATATGACACTGAAATTATTTTGGTTGTAGATGGTAAGTTTCTTTTCATAATAATAACAATTCTTGATATGTTCATCCTATAGCTTGTTGTTAAACAAACAAAATGTTGCAAATTAGGGATTAGATTAAAGTTCATAGTAAAAGATGCCAGTCTTTCTACAATTCTCTCTGTTTTGTCCTTTTTCTGCCCGTCCTTTCCAGCACTGTAGCAATCAGAATTATTGTTTGAAGACCAGGAAAAATGCCCAACAGATTTATTTTACCAAGTGGACCATCCTGGCTTTTGATATACTGGTAGATGGTCAGGTGGCCAGGAGGGGACAGAGGTGGAATGCTTTCCCTGCACCTGTAAATTGTTATTATAATTTTTAATTATGATTAAAATAATCCCACTATTGTCCTCTCTCACTTATTCACAGACATTTGGGACATTATTGGACACAATATTCATTGTAATTGGGTCTTTTTCAGTTTAAACCTTTTGCAAACATATATGAGATTCTTGACGGGTTCCAGTCTCACTTTAAAGAACAGTATTATGCTGTATTCCATCTTGTTCTCTATGAAACATGTTTAAATGGAATCTTAGAAATTGAATTCAGATCTATGAAAGTGAATATAAATAAGTCTGCTTTTTGATTTTTCTATAATGGGCTCTGTGTTACAGTGGTGACTTACACTTCTACTCAGGTCTGCGCCTTCAAAGGATCAACAGCAGAAATACACTCCACATTCAGATACCTATCGACTATAAATGACATAAAGACAAGAATCCAGAAAATGTTCTGGTTTACTACAGTCAAAGATAATGAGCCTGTGGACCTGAAAACAGATCCAGAGAATTCAGGTCGAGTTCAGTATCAGTGTGAAAACAACGACTGCACTCTGAGAATCTCATACCTGAGAGAGAGCGACTCAGCTGAGTACAAGTTCATGCTCATAACAAACGATCCAGGAGGGAAATATACTGGATCACCTGGAGTCACTTTGACTGTTACAGGTAAAACAATATTTCACTGGAATTCACTTTAAACATTTCCATGTGTATCTGTGCAGATGTTGAGATATTTCCGATATAATGTCATTGTTTTTTTTTAGTCCCAGATCCACAGCTCCAGGTACATGTGAGGAGATCAACAGTAAACTCTTATTCTAACTGGACAGAGCTGACATGTCACAACAACTGTCAGCTACCTGATCAATCTTCCTACATCTGGTACAGGAATGGACACAAACTTTCATCAGACGAACAATATTTACAGCTGAACACATTTGATACTGTAGACAGTCTTTACTGTGCTGTGAAAGGATATGAGCGATTCCCTTCTCCAACAGTGTGTGAGTTCACTACTTTTTGTTTCATTAAAGGAATTATATTTAATTTTTCTTTATTTACGGGAATGTGTTTGTATGCTACTTTAGTCAAAATCCTTTCTTTTAGGGGGTTTACAATGTTTTCTTTTTAGAATATAAATTTTTTAATTTGTTTTTTTACGACCATGTCGTCATTCTTATGTTTCCTCCTCCAGATGCTCCAAAGCTTCCCTCTGTGTCAGTGAGTCCCTCTGCTGAGATAGTGGAGGGCAGTTCAGTGGCTCTGACCTGTAGCAGTGATGCTAACCCAGCAGCTAGTTACACCTGGTACAAGGAGGATGTCATCAGCCCTCTCAGGTACCAAAAACAACATTTTTTCAGATCCATCCGGCCTTCTCAATCTGGAAAGTATTACTGTACAGCTGATAATGGCCTGGGACAAAAGAGATCTGAAAGCAGAACTATTGATGTGAAATGTGAGTAAAATACATTTATAAGCTTTAAATTCTTTGTTCTCAGTTGAACAGTTAACATCAACTTTAGAGATAAGAGTTAATTCATCATCATGAAGAGTGAAAACAGATTTACTGCACAATCATGTCTGTTTATTACAATATAAGGAAGTTTGACAAAGAAATAGGAAGGTTTCTACATATTATTATTTTATAATTTTTGTTGTGAGAAGCCTGCAAAGACTTGAGTATATTTATAACCAACCATGTTGTCATTCTTATGTTTCCTCCTCCAGATGCTCCAAAGCTTCCCTCTGTGTCAGTGAGTCCCTCTGCTGAGATAGTGGAGGGCAGTTCAGTCACTCTGACCTGTAGCAGTGATGCTAACCCAGCAGCTAACTACACCTGGTACAAGGAGGATGTCATCAACCCTCTCAGTTACCAAAACCAACATGTTTTCAGCTCCATCCTGCCCTCTGACTCTGGAAAGTATTACTGTACAGCTGATAATGACCTGGGACAAAAGAGATCTGAAAGCAGAAACATTGATGTGAAATGTGAGTAAAATACATTTATAAGCTTTAAGTTCTTTGATCTCAATTGAACAGTTAACATCAACTTTAGAGATAAGAGTTAATTCATTATCATGAAGAGTGAAAACAGATTTACTGCACAATCATGTCTGTTTATTACAATATAAGGAAGTTTGACAAGGAAATAAGTAAGGTTTCTGAATGTTACCTTTTATAATTTTTGTAGCGTTGTGAGAAGCCTGCAAAGACTTGAGTATATTTATAACCAACCATGTTGTCATTGTCCTTATTTCTCCTCCAGATGCTCCAAAGCTTCCCTCTGTGTCAGTGAGTCCCTCTGCTGAGATAGTGGAGGGCAGTTCAGTCACTCTGACCTGTAGCAGTGATGCTAACCCAGCAGCTAACTACACCTGGTACAAGGAGGATGAAAATTTACCAAAAGCATTTGGACAGAACTTCACCGTCACCAAGTTCAGACCTGAACACAGTGGGCGTTATTACTGTGAAGCCCAGAACAAGCTGGGACGTCATAACTCCACCTTACAGCAGACCATTGTGCCAGGTAATCATTTATATTTACATACTGGATACACTCAGAAAGGAGTGCAGTCAAAAAGTCAGGCACAATCTACATTCATGCACTATGGCTAATTATTGGATGGCACTAGAATTTATAATAACAGATCACTGTCAAAATACCTCAGCACAGATAGAACTGTATTACTACCTAAATGTACACATGTGCAAGTATTTATTTTGCCAAAATGTTTCCTCTTCAGCGTTGTATGGACTCATAGCGCTGCTACAGATAATTAAACCAGAGCTGATGTTAAAAACTTTGCTCTTTTGAATCTACACTAATCCATCATCATCTTTAAAAGCATATGTTTGTATGGTGCCTGTCCTGTGAGGGCCAAATATCTCAAAATAATCATTAATGAGTTCAGAAAACCAGGCCTGCAACTTGATTTACAAAGATAATTTAAATATATTAAAAAGAAAATACCAGCTGCACCTGTAACTGTTCAACTTGCCTGTGTGGTTAAACAGAATATGGCAGGAGTCCCACTGTCTGCTGTCAAGGCTTTCCTTATTCATGTGCTAAAGAGTCCTAAGAATCAACATTGTAACTTATCTATCACGATGACAAGAACCATGTTTATTGCTAATGCTAGTCCTGTTTCCATGCAAAAAGCAGATTGTAACTGATCTCAGAATACTGAAAGCAGAGCCAGTGACATTTTAACCTCCTGTTAAAAACCAGGGATTTATCCATAATGCCCATGTGCACCCAGCCAGATAAAGCTGCAGGCGACTCAGCTTGAAGTGATTTTTAATCGAATGCAGACGAGGCTATGAAATTAAGATGTGCTACAGTTTTCAGTGGAATAAGGGGGCGCACCCAGTTAACCCTGTTTTCAGAGACAATAGCCAACTGCTGCCACTGTTTATTGTAGGCTTTTTAATTTACAGTATAAAGTGCATTTAGACAACTGAAATGAGACCTCTAAAAGTTGATTCTGTTCATCTGGACGTAGCGTTTTGTGGGAGAAACGTTTCGTCACTCATCCAGGTGACTTCTTCAGTCTCAGCTGACTGCAGGTTTCCCCAACCTTATAAACAGTACATTTGCACAATGACTGAAACCAGCACCACTGAAGGAACAATGGGCTGGGAGGTCAGTTCCTTAATCTTAATTATGTAAATTCTCATGACCATTCATCAGCAACCACTGACCAATATCAGCTTTTAGATGTCCCCCATTACTGATGTAAATCTTACAGTCTAAGAAGGCTAACCTGCCACTTTTCATATCCTCCCTTTTGAATTTGATGTGTCGGTCCACCGAGTTAATGTGATCCGTGAAATGTGGTACGTCCTGAGATTTGATTTTCACCCAGGTGTCATCCACATATCTGAACCAATGGCTTGGTGGTGTTCCAGGGTAGGATAGCAAAGCCCTCTTTTCCATTTCTTCCATGTACAAATTGGCCACGATGGGTGAAACTGGTGAGCCCATGGTACACCCATGTTTCTGCCTGTAGAACTGACCCTTGAAGACACACATGAAAACACAGTTCCAAAAAGCAAACACACTTGGTCGATGCTGAGAGGGGTCCTGTTGCTGAGGTTGGTGTCATCCTGTAATCTCTTACAGACTACCTCCAACGCTTCCGGGACTGGGATGCAAGTGAAGAGAGATGTAACGTCGTAAGAGATCATGGTTTCATCTGCCTCCATAATGACATCTCTCACCTTCTCAACACAATCCAGGGTGTTCTGGATGTGGTGTTCAGAGCTGCAAATCTTAATTTACATAATTAAGATTAAGGAACTGACCTCCCAGCCCAGTGTTCCTTCAGTGGGCTGGTTTCAGTCATTATGCAAATGTACTGTTTATAAGATTGGGGAAACCTGCAGTCAGCTGAGACTGAAGAAGTCACCTGGATGAGTGACTTCTTCAGTCTCTCCCACAAAACGCTAAGTCAAGATTAACAGAATCAACTTTTGGAGATTTACTTTCCTGGGTGATTAAGAATGCATCAAGACGAAACTGACATGAGAGAAATTTTTTGATAAAACACTGTTTGAGATTAACAGAGTGAGGTCACGTTACTCTGCTGTGTTTAAATAGATTTCTATTTTTATTTTTCACTGGAGAAGAACTTGGCTTCTGTAGCCTAAAACTCCAACACTGTTCAGGCCATACACAGGTCGAACGTTATGGAATACTCAATTAACTATTAGTGCTTTACTTTGATCTTGATCAGGAGCAAAGAAGATAAAAGCTGCTGGAGTAACTGCTGCTGTTCTCCTGTCCGTCACATCCCTCCCTGTCTTCCTTTGGATTCGGTGAGCAGATCTGTCGCATTAAACTTTTACTTTTCAGTCATTGTGTTGTTCTTTTGTTCATTATCATTTCATTCCTCAGAAAAAAGAGGAATTCCAAGGAATCATCCAAGACTGAAGGCAGAGCAGACAACAAAGAACAGGTGAAACCAGAAATATAATTGCAGTAAAAAAAAAATCATCATTCACCATTCTAATCTAAGATCATTTTTTTCTATGCAGTGTCTCTCTGATCAGGAGGAGCCACAGAAACAGGATGATCTTCAGTATGCCAGCATCCACTTCTCTAAAAACCAGGCAGATCCTCTCTACAGCAACAGCAGTTCAGCCCCACAGACACCTGGAGGAACAGAGAGTTACACTTAAAAACTGAAAACTATTTGAATGAAAGAGTCCAGGCAACTAATCAGTCTTCCTAGATTGTATCACATCATCTCAACAAGAATAAATGTAACAAAGTTGTTGAACTTCATGCAGATCATACATGATTTAATTACGCTCACCACAGAAACATAAAATCTTTATTTTATTTTTTCAAATTACAAGTTTGACTCTTGTTAATATAAAAACCACCTACTTTAACTTTTTTGAGTTTACTGTGTTACACTGCTGTTAAATCAAATTAAAAAGTACAGCCCTGTGGTGAGCAGCTCCTCACATAATACGATGAGCCTCGCTAGAAGATTCAAATTAAATATCTGGGAAATGCATTGCCTGCTTGAGCATTCTTCTTCTGTTTTTAAGCTTTTTTTTCCACCATCATAATATAATTTCATGCTACATACTCAGAATCAACTAATTTGTGTCTATGAACCAAAAGCCATTGATGAAGAGGATCCATCCAGACTGCACCCTGCAGTCAACAAGATGTGGTCAACAAAGCCAAAATCCCCATTAGCAGAAAGAAGCTGCATCATGGGAGGTTTGGTCTGTTCACTCAGTGAGCGTCATAATTTAGCCAGCATGGTGGCTACTGGAGCTAGTTTCATTTTCACAAACCAAAATAATCTTTTGCTGCTCTTTTTCTTTCCTCATCACTTGTAGAAAAATACACGTATGTGATCAAACATGATTATCATAGTCTGTTTTCTGATGTTTGATATCCTGATGTATTATTATCATAATCACATTTATTTCAAACTGCACAAAGAAATTGACTTTTTAAAACGATTAACTTTTTTAACAAATCATTAAATAACACCTGATTTTTCAATAGCACTTCATTACTCTGATGTCTCACAGTGATATATATGGTTTATAAAACATTATTCTGCTACACCTCAACTTCTATGTGACTTTAATTTTCCATGGTGCTTTTTTTTTTTTGCATCAATAAAATTGTATAACATCAAGTTATGTCATGTTAATGCTGACTGGCTATTTGATATAACAGATCCAAACAGAGCACACTATCTGGATCTAGGTAAAATGGTGAAATGTGTTTGTTTTGAAAGAAAATTACAAAAATAACATTAAATTCCTTACAAAAAAAATATAAATTATAGTGATTAACAGAAATATTCACAACAAATTCTCTGTAAAAACTCCCTTATGTATTGTCACAAACTGGGTCAAAGGGCAAAGAGAGAGTTCATAGGTACATCTTTAACTGAACTCTTTGTATCATGATAGTCCCATACAGTAGAAGACAAATTACTAAAATCATTTAGCTACATTTATTTCTAAATTTACTGCTATAGTTTGTGTTCTGTGCAAATGAACGCTGTCAAAACCACCAACACAAAGCACCAAAAAATGCATTGAAACGTAAACAACATACATTATTAAAGTGACAGAACTTCAGGTTACAAAAAGACACAATCACTAATTAGTGAGATACACGAGTCTCACAATAAATCCACACATGTTGGGATTTATCATAAAGACAACACTAAATGCATTTGTACAGCTAGCTTTCTTCATAGACAAAAATAGACACATGTTTGGATAAGAAAAAATAACTTCACCAAACATGGTGGAGGAATTATTATGGTATGTGTGGCTGCCAGTGTTGATGATGTGACTGTGGATATAAGCAGCAGACTGAATTCTGAGTACAGGTATACACTCTCTTCTCAGATTCAGCCAAATGCTGCAAAACCAATTGGATGGTCCTTCAGATTGCAAATAGATAATGAATCAAAGCATATTACAAAACCAACTGGAGAGTTTCTCAGTATTCATCAATGGCAAAGTCACCAGCTGATCTTAACACCTAGGAGCATCCTTTTCAGTTACAGAAGACAAAACTGAAGTCAGAGAGACCCACAAAGAAACAGCTACTAAAGGTGGCTGCAAGAAAGACCAGGCAAAGTGTCTCAAGAGACGAAACTCTTAAAGTGTTCCTGATTTTTTTCTTTCTTTCTTTTGTTTTACTGCCCTCTAGTGTTAGCTTGCAGCTTTGAGTTTCATCTCTCAGTACTCTCTCTCCCTGAGTGAAAAATCCTTTAAAGAATTTGGCCATTCAAAATAAATATACTTGTTTGTATATTGATAACAAACACCTTAAGGTCTGATTTAATTCCATAGTAAGCACAGACCTTGCCCCAAACCCCCCCCTAACCAGGCTAGCCCACAGGTCACATGACCACTACTTAACTAGAAACCATGCTTTTTTTTCTTCCCCTGTCATATATAATGAGTAATACATACAAATCATTTCAGTACATAGGTATGTCCCCCAATGTCCTGTTCGGAGAGCAATTACTTTCTAGCTGTCTGATTGGATTTTTGTTTTTAATAAATCAGTCTCATGATTGTGAGCCCCACCTAATGTGTAAACAAATGGAAGGCAGGCAGGGTAGTGAGGTGAGGAGACCAAAGACATTACTGCCAGGCAACCCTACATCTGATATGGCTCCCCAGTACCATTCCAGCCTTCCACTAGCACCTATAGTGGATCCTGTTGTGTCATTTGTAAGTATAATTGTCTTTATGTAGGTGAGTGCTAAGCTAGTGCTATGTAGGGCAGCAGATATCGATTGTTCAGATAAGAAATACTTATGTCTTATTAATGAGCAATAATAAAAAAAGAGAGTCTTTTAAAATGAATTGCTCATTGACTTCCATTTCAGACATTGCAATGTTTTAAATTTTAACTGGATATAATGGTTGTCAAAAACAACAACAACAACAACAACAACAACAACAACAACAACAACAACAACAACAACAACAACTAAACCCCTTTAGGTAATTTAATACCAACCATATCAATTTTCTTTTTTAAGAAAACCATTTTTAAAGCAAAAAAATCAAAGATCAAAGTCATTGCAATCTAAACTAAGACATAAAAATGTACATTTATCTTCTTAGACAGCTTTCTGACATCAATGAAGTAGATTAGGCATGTTCTCATTTTTATGAGTTTTTGTGAATGTGTGTGTCTGCAGGTTTAAGTGTACAAGTAAATAAAGGAGTTTGTGCCTGTAACCCTTTAAAGGAGTATCTGGTGGCTGCAATGAAGAAAAGCAAGCAAACAAAAAAAATATTAACACAATTTATATAGCACACTATTTTACATTATTTTACTTTCAATCTAAAAAATGTTTGAAATGAATATGGTCTAATACACCCCAAGCCCTCCTTTAAACTCACCACTGTTTGCTGCAGGTACTGCTACAGCACTCCTACTCTGGAGTTTATCACATCAGTGCACTCCTGAACAGCGGACTTATTTTTGAACAGTAATAATAATTTTTTGCACATCAGGTCATCCTGCATACTAAGCCAACATATTGAGGTCATAGTTCTTTTGCACACATCTCTGTTTCACACTTTAATATTGTCTTCTTTTTGTCTTCATTTATTTATCTGTACTATTTATATTTTATATGTTCTATTTCTATTGTATATATTAATTGGCATCTCTGTGGGGACAGCAAAGAAAAAATTTCATTGCACAAAGAAATCCCTTTTTTTCTTTGAATACATGACAATAAACACTTTGAATCTTGAATCTCTTGAATCTACAGAGCTGCGTGTTAAACTAAGATAAGATGAACAAACAACTTCTGTTGAGAATTTTTTATAATCGAATTATTCAAATTACTCCATGAATTGTTGCAGACCCATGCATTAAAAGATGTGAGACAGGTGGAGGACGATCCCACTCAGTGGCAGACCGGCTGTCATCCCATCCCATTGACCCAGCACCCAAGGGAGGCCATAGCTTCAAGGAGTACAGCAAAGGGCCACATTTCAGCCTGACAGCTTGATCATCTGGATGGGGAACTCTCCAGATTGTAAGTTACCAGAATACTGGAGATGTCATAGGATCCAGTAAATATTCCAGTAAAAGCTGACGTACTGAAGCAACTTCTTTACTCAAAGAATCTGACATTTAGAAAACCGTCACTCCCTTCTTGCTTCCTCTTCTGTAGTGCTAGCCAGATTTTGCTAGAAAATTTTAAATTGGATCTATTTAAATATTACAGCTTCCCATCCCACAGCCAAATAAAGGAGATGTGGAAATTTTTTTTAGTCTGTTACAGATAAAAGATAAGTTTATTGTATTTTTTGACCGAACAGGTACTCTTGTGTGTTCTGTCTTGCAATGTAAGAGACGCAGCAGCAGATTAGAATCAAGTATAGAAAGACTTTATATATTCTCTACATCACCAAATTAATACATGGATATTCCCTGGACAACGTAACCCAAAGTTTGCGCTCCATTCACGGGTTTTAGCAAAGTACACATAGCAACCTCCACATATAAAACATATTCCACCAGTAGAGAATCTGTAATGCACATAAAATAAATATAAGAGACTGTCGTCAATCGCAGAACAGTAACCAGACTCCTCCATGGCTCTGTGGCTGAAGAGTTCACTATATACAACACTTACTCATCATCAAGCCAGTCTATATCTGGAAAGAAATGTTTCAATATTCACCTCTCAGACTCACCAACATGGCCACCCACTGATGGCTCCAACCCTGGCGAGCTGCTCCCCCCATCACCCTCTCTCCACATTCCCCAAGTAAGGACTGATTGGAATCTCAACACTCTGTTCACTTTTCAACATACATCAAGATTTATACACCTGAGTCACAAACCCAGAATCCCTGTGATGTCCCCATTTTTACTTTATCATGAATATTATTACTATGGAAGGAGGAAATGCGCACGCGTGCACACACACACACACACACACACACACACACACACACACACACACACATTTTATAAACCCTCTGGTGACTGTTAACATATATGTGTAACGAGTATTTGAACCATTCTGCTTGATTTAGCTGCTGTCAAGTTTTAGCAAACAATAGCTGTAGGGCTCAAGTGTTGGACTGGGCATGACAGAGAGAAGCAGAGTGTAGTTTGAGATTCTTTCTTCCCTTAGAGAAATCACACA